TGCTCCACTCCCCAACTCTGGTGACCAACACTCATTAAAGGAGATCTCTTAGGCAGCAGAGTGACATCCTTTGGTAAGTGTAAAATAGCCTACACAAAAACTTTCACACCAGGTGTGTCTAACACATGCACATTTGCTGTGTAGTAACCAAAATTACTGTGCAGTACAGATGTGGCTACACAGGCACACCCCTACAGCATGGTAAATACAGGAAACCCTTGCTGTTCACAGGTTCAGCATTCAGTTTCAAATATTTGCAAATGCCAAACCTGCATCTTAAATACATATACAAGAGCTCCTTGGGAGCTCTGTGCTTGCTCCCACTGGGCTCCCGCCACCACCAGTGCAGCCATGCCCCTGTCCCCCAAGCTGCCAGGGCCACTGCATTCATGATGTTCATGAATGCAGTGCCATATTCAGCTTTAGCCATTTGCAGGGATCTCAAGAACATATCCCCTGCGGATGGCAAGGGTTGCCTGTATAGCAACTTACACCAATTTGATACCTGGTATCAAATTTACACCCAAATAGTTACTGCACAGTAATGCATGTGTAGATGCCTTACTGCACAGTAACACTGTGTGCAGACTGATTTGGGACTAACTTTATCCCCAGGTCAGTGCACATGGTGTTAATGTGTTAAAGCATGTACATGTAGATGCCAGTTCATTCCCATTTACTGCACAGTAAATTTAAGCCAGTGTAAATGCACATGCAGACATGCCCACTGTGTATTCAGCCTGGTTATCCAAGGCTGGCTTGTTACCAACTGTACTTGCATTGACCCCAGCCAAGTTGTAGGTGTATGGCCCTTCCACCTGCTATAAAAAGGGAGTAGGCTAGCAATAATGGTTCCTAAAAGCCCTGTTCCCATCGGAGGTAGGGTTCCCCTGTGCAGCATGCCAGAGAACAAACAGTAAGGATGTCAGCACAAGCAAAAGCATGCAGTAGTGCCAAGATGCTGGACACAACAGCCAGTTCCACAGTTGCCTTCATTTCAAGAGGATTCTGAAGCTGTATTATGCATTTCCTTCGAGTGTGGCATAGCAGTCACACTAGGCAGGGATCATGTTCCCTTTTTTTTTTTGTTCCCTTGTTGCCATTGTCCCTCGGCCACACTGTTTCCTTTGTTCTGGCACCCCTCCACTCGCCCCAGGGTAGGCCAGTTAAAGCCGTTCCTTTTCCTAGCTCTGGCCAAGAGCTCGTTTCACTCCAGAGAAATTGCTCCAATTCCTCTCACTGATGGCTTGTTTGGAAGAGTTACCAATCCTCTTTTACGAGTAATTTCCAAAGCAGTACCTTCCATTTGTGAGCCACTTCCGGTTCTGGCTTGGTCACTATGCTTTCTCACAGTAGTCATCCCACTGGAAACACCTACTCGAGTTCAGCTCAGGCACCTTTTAAAGAAACAGGAGAGGGCCCCCTCCCCTTCCTCCAACCTTGTAATTCCCTCTTAACCTTAATCTGCCAAATGCAAACTGACAGATTAATGCTGATCTCTGTCACAACATTTAAGAATGAGAGACTGGAATAACTGTACTCAAAAGGGACAAAGCCAAGGTACAGGAGGTAGCAAAAAGGCAACCACCATAGCATTCGAAAATAGCTTGTCTGTGGTCCTTGTCATTAACAGTTTAGCACCTGGCAGTCAATTGGGATGCTACTTTACAAACAGACTGCTTCCCTGGAGAGTTTGCAAATAAATGCGATGGATGAGCTGGAGAGAGTGTCAGGTAAGGAAACGTATTTGGGGGGAGGGGGAAGAGGGTAGAAAAAGCAGGAACAGCTGCTCGTTGTGCGGGAAGCATCGCACAATGACAGGACACGCAACCCAAGATTCAGAGACAGAGGAAGCTGTTCTCAGGAGGGTGAAGATGGGAGATCTGGACTCAGACAAGGAATTTGGTCACAGTACTCACATACATGTGGGGTTCATATATTGCACAAATCCAGGCTGGAGAGTGAATTCTTGTAACCAGACCTCTGGCCAAAGCAAGGGTCACCCTGTGGACACAGGCTTGTCCTAGGACTCTGGGAATGGAATTCAGGATTACAAGATATCATGTCTTCAGAGTGAAAACTTGTGCAGCAACAACTCCTGCTGCCCCTCAACCTTTCCCATAACTCTTCTCCTTTCTGTGCTTTGATCAGCAGCTTGCTGTTTAAAGTGGATATTCAAATTGTTATAATTAGTCTGTAAGGTCAGCAATGCCTTGAAAATAAGGTAGCTTGTGCCTCAACCCAGCTGTTTCAGGCAAGCTACACAGCTAAGCAGACATTACCCCATCTATGGACACTTTGTTCACATTTTCAAGTCCATTCTTAGCACTGAGCACGCTACAGCCCTTGGTGATTTTTCTAAAAGGAAAGAAAATTCTGGAGCCCAGCCCCCCTTGGAAAACCTAGTTTTATACTCAGGAAGGCATCTTTAAGAGCACACTTGCATCCCCTGGGTATGCCCCTGCTAGGAGTTAATGGAAGGGTCTGGTGAGTCCCTGCAGATGAGTCCCTATGCCCTCTGCCATCTAGGATGGCCTGTTACCAAGATAGGAAGCATGTATGGACATCTCCATGTCTAGGGCCAGCCACCCCTGCAGAAGTGCAAATGCAAGTTAGCCTTATTACAGCCTGGAAGTGTCAGGTGCATGAAGCTTTCCTACTGCACTTCCCAGGCAGTCCAGTGACCTACAACAGCTACTCTACATTTGATAGGTCTCTCATCATGCCAGGAGGCAGCCTTACCTGGGGTGCAGAACTGCCCCCTCACTGAGGCGCACAAAGGTTTACAGTGCAACTAGCTTAAAGGTATTATACAAGGATTTGGCAAACGAGACCTTGAAACATCCGAATCTGATGTTTTCTGTGCTCCTACATACTAATGAAACCCTTGTTATTAGCTGGCATTTTATTGCAAACCTGTCATGTGGTCTCGACTTTAGCCTTCCTTATGCAGCTAAAAAAAGTGACAAACACCCCCCCCCCCAAAACAAAGCATCTTGAATACAAGCCTGGATAGTGCTCTGTATTTACCAAAACCTGGTGTTTAACAGGTTTGTATCATCCTGAAGCCTGGAAGTTCTCTTTGACTATTAGTCTATGAACACCATTAACAGATTTTTTTTTCCTGATACTCAGTCACTAAGGCCTCTCATGCACAAACAATTTAATTAAAGACCCACTAGCCCCATGTTGTCTCTGCCTTAGAATGTCCTGCAATTTTAAGGTGTTGATTTCTAAACTCTTCATTTGAGTGCAGCTCCTGAAGAAAGCTTTGCAAAAGGCACATGCAGTCTCATTTTTTACTTAGACCCCTGGTAGCAGCCTAGTGGCTAGACTATGGCTTTGTTAGAAACACCCAATGTCTGTATGAACTGATTAGAAAGGCATTGTAAACAGAGACCCAATATTGTTGAGACAGTCTGAAGCTAGCAGTTTGTCCTGTGTGATGCACTATCTGCACATGAAGGATCATATTTAGATCTTGACTGGGTACTACCAATCACAGCTGTGCTTTAAAATCAGAAAGAAGCACAGCCCACCCTTAAGTTACAACAGCTGTTAGACTTGGGAGTGGTCTGGCCTATTTTTCCCTACACCCCATTAAAATGCAGGAGGCTACATGGACAGCTGCCTTACAGTTAGGAGTGGATAGGTTCACTGAAATAGTATTTCTGCTCAAGTATGCCAAACAGAACTGCTTAGCAGGGAGTTAGTCTGCTCCCAGCAGCCAGGAATCCCATTCCAGGGCCATTAGTCCAGACAGTTGACTCTGCACTGGCAGGAAGTCCAGGGTTTAGGGACAAAGTTTTGAATTTGTTTTTACTACATTAAGCTGCAGTATCAACTGTAAGACTAAGCTTGGATGCAGCAGGGAAGTTGCCATTCCAGGTGCAAAGCAATGTGCTGAAGGTCCTCACTGCTGCTTCAGCAATGCTGTTGCATGTAAAAGGGACAAGTGTAAGCAGCAGTGAGCCAAGGTGAAGTGCAGGTGTGGCAAGTGGCTTTGTGTATATAACCATGGCTGTCACCCTTTCAGAGGCAACTAGCCAATGTACAGACTAGACAAAAGGGGACATGAAGGCTGGATGCCACTAGAGCACGTGGCAAATGTCAACACCAGCTATTCAGAGCTTCCACCCAAGGCCCACGCTGGAACGACCTGTGAAGACAGAAAGCAGAGAGATTCCTAGGAGCATTTTGAGCCAACCCTGATGACTGACATCTCCCACATGCCTGAGCTGTCAGCCCACCGACCAGCTCCCACATTGCAAAGTGCCATTTACAGAAATAAGAGGAATTAGACATTTATATGTTTATTGTAATTACAAGTGTACATTACTCCATAGAAAGCCCCACTGCTAATTTTCTAATTCTGAGCAATTAAGTCCTACAAAAATAAATCCAAGCTTTTACAGTAAACTTAGTCAATGCATAAACTAAAATTCTAGCTATGTAAAGGGGTTCCATTATCAAGGTGCTTTTTCAACAAAATTCCCCCATCAACCAAAAGGGACACATGCCTAACAGCTCAGCTCACTTAGTCATGCAAATGAGTTTAACCCTCCCACCCAGCCCCCCATACACAAAACTCTTAAAACAAACAAAAAACAACTATATACAAAGTTGGGGGGTGGGGTGGGGAGGTTTAGAGGAAACAAAAAATTAAACATGCCTGTCCATTAAGCTAAATTATACGGGCTTCCCTTTCCTAGTTTAAATGAAAGCAATGTTTCATAGTGTTTCACCACTCAGTACTAGCATGCAGAAGCCATCTGCAGTATGCACCAGTTACTGAATGAGGTACTGTTGTGGCAAATCAAGCCTTCCTTAGCTCTTTTTTTTTTTTTTTTTTTTTTTTAAAGGGTTCCCCCCCCTTTTTATTTTTTTACTTTTTTTACGCTCATCCAAAAAAACTA